ACTACCACTACTACCAACACTACCCAGCTACCTTTACTACCACTACTACCATCACACCCACTACACCATTACTCCCACTGCTACCATCACTACCACTACTACCCATCACTACCCACTACTACCATTACTCCCAAACTACCATCACTACCACTACTACCATAAACTACCACTACTACCATCCCTACCCTGCTCCCAAATTACTAACCACTACTACCATCACAACCAACTACTACCATTACACCACTACCATCACTAACCCACTACAACCATCACTCACCCCTACAACCATCACTACCCTACTACCCATCACTACCCAACAAACTACCATTACTACCACTACTACCATCACTACCACTACATCACACTACCACTACACCTTTACTACCACACTACCTCACTCCCACTACTCCCCATCATTTACCATTTAACTACCATCACTACACTACTACCATTCACCACTACTTATCATCACTACCACAACTACCATATACTACCACTACAAAACCTCACTACCACACTACCATTACTCCCACACTACCATCACTACCACTCCCTTACCATCACTATCACTATTACCATCACTACCACTACCTTCCATCCCCTACCACTACTCCCATCACTACCTCTACTACCTCACTACCACTACTACCTTACTCCCTACTACCATTACTACCACTACTACCATTACTACCACTACTACCATTACTACCACTACTACCATTACTACCACTACTACCATTACTACCACTACTACCATTATTACCACTACTACCATTACTACCCACTACTACCATCACTACCACTACTACCATTACACCACTACTACCATTACACCACTACTCCCATCACAACCACTACTACCATTACTACCACTACTCCCATCACTACCTCTACTCCCATCACTACCACTACTAACCATTACTACCACTACTCCCAAATACTACCACTACCCCATTACTACCACTACTACCATTACTACCACTACTACCATCACTACCACTACTACCATCACTACCACTACTACCATCACTACCACTACTACCATTACTACCACTACTACCATCACTACCACTACTACCAAATCACTACCCTACTACCATCAAACCCACTACTACCATCACTACCACTACTACCTTTACTACCAACTACTACAATTACTACCACTACTACCATCCTACCACTACTACCATTACTACCACTACTACCATCACTACCACTACTACCATCACTACCACTACTACCATCACTACCACTACTACCATTACTACCACTACTACCATCACTACCACTACTACCATCACTACCACTACTACCATCACTACCACTACTACCATCACTACCACTACTACCATTACTACCACTACTACCACACTCCCACAAATACCATCACAACCACTACTACCATCACTACCCTACAACCATCACTACCAACTACTTCCATCACTAACCACTACTCCCATCACTACCTCTACTACCATCACTACCACTACTACCACTAGTACCACGACTACCACTACTAAAACTACTACCACCACTACCACTACTACCACCACTACCACTACTACTACCACTATCACTACTACTACCACTACAACCGCTACTACTGCTATCACCACGTTGGTTGTGCTGTAACTTTTGTTGTGCTGTAACGTTGGTGGTGCTGTAACGTTGGTGGTGCTGTAACGTTGGTGGTGCTGTAACGTTGGTGGTGCTCTAACGTTGGTGGTGCTCTAACGTTGGTGGTGCTGTAACGCTGGTGGTGCTGTAACGTTAGTTGTGCTGTAACTTTTGTGCTGTAACGTTAGTTGTGCTGTAACGTTAGTTGTGCTGTAACGTTAGTTGTGCTGTAACGTTGGCGGTGCTGTAACGTGATGTTAGATCACCAACACGACGCCCCGTTATATTAGAATTCAGACACACAATAGAACGTAATATAATGCAATACGTGTCTGATGAGGAGGACCCCAGTAGAGGTCGAAATATGGAGACCAATTAATTTCCAGAGTTTCTGTGTCCATGTGAGACCCCAGTGAAAATGAGTGACTGTCTCCGACTTTTTCTGGATTATCCTGGGTGACTGACACAGGTTAATAGTTACGCTACTTGTACCTGTGTATACCTGTACCTAAATAAACCTTGGCCTGTTAGGCAACGCTTTCGCTTGACACACACAGTGTCCGTGGTTCGATCCCCGGCAGGGGTCGAAACCGTGGACGTATTTCCTTACACCTGCTGTCCCCTTTCACTTAGCAGTAAGTAAGGACCTGGGTGTTAGTGGACTGGTGTGGGTCGCATCCTGGGGGCAGGATTGAGGACCACAGTGGTAATAATAGACAGTCCTCGATGACGCACTGATTTTCTTAGGTTATCATGGGTAGCTAACCCCCCAGTGTTAAAAATCCTAACAAAAATCTTGTCTTAATTGAGAGTAATGGACTACGATAACGAGCGTAAATAGATAGAAAACGGGAGGCCGGTGTTCGTAAAAGAAAATGTATTTATTTTCTGATTAACTCGCTTAAGGGTTAACTCAGGCATAAAAATAGACTGAAAAAGTTTTATTTGGTAAGATAAAATAGTAAGTAAGCTTGTTTATTTAGGAGTCATAGGCGCCACCAGAAATATTCTCAACTTGGATACAAAACATGTAGCCTATTACAGCTGTATGTAATAGGCTACAGACACCTATGTAACGGTATCTGTCTCGGTGACATGAGAAGCTAACAATATCAAATTGTACATTAGGCGATGTTATTTGTGGAAAATACTGTATATATTTTCCAGAAATTCAGTATTTATATGTAAATAGATGGCCATCTTGGTTTTGAATTGGATACAACGTTAATAGGAAGAATTTTTCGTGCTCTAGAGGTTAAAATTGGATTGACACCTCTCAAATAGGAGGCGAAATTGGTGGATGTGCATTCCTGCATAACTTGAGATATCAGACGACTGGACAAGACAGCTCCAGGAACCTCAGATAAGCTCTCTAGATTTGTGTGTAATTCTGGCCAGCATTATTTTCATAGATTTAGTTAGAGTGAGGTTTTCTGAGTATGATACACATTAATCTCCAGTCAAATTTGTGAGTGATATTAAGATATATTTTCCTTCTGTTATGTAATTGTGTATATATATAACCCCTTTTATTATTTTTAATATACAGTCCACAAAATTTATATATTTACCAGTATTCCTGGTGTATGTATATTTCATTTAATTAATAGGTCCAGAGCAACTTGTGGTTATGACAGTGGTAGGTATCGAAGGGGGACATTTTTTTGCGACCTAGGTGTCCCAAATTCCTACTTGTCTATGTAACATTGATAAATAATAATTATCTTTGTTATCATTTACTGTTATGTACATAATTAGTTACATTCAGATAAATGCAATTTTCCACATTATTATTCATTTCTAGTTATGACTGAGACCATGTTGAGAAATGCCAGATGGGAGTTAATGCCTGTGTCTTGTCCCTTGGTATTGGAGACCATGGGAGACCAGGTACCTGGGAGGGTGAAAAATGAGAGCAGGTGAGCCACTTAATAAGAGCCAGTCACTCTGGAGAGTCAAGAATACACAGGTAACGTCTAGGGGTGGGACGATACCAAAATTTTGGCTGATACCATTACTTCGGCACATCACTAGGCTAACCTCCTGTCACCAAAGAAATCATGACAGTCCTGCTACAAAAAAATGTGGCAACACACGAGGGCAAATAAACAACCCATCCAAAATACATTCAACAAAAACACAACACAACCATATAGAACACCAACACAAACACAGCACCAACACAACACAAAAATCTCGCTGACACGCGCAACACAAACACATTCAACACGAAAACGTCCGCCACAAAGTCAACACAACTCAACCGAAACAACACAAACACTCACACTACAAGCATACACCATCACCAACACTAACAGTACCTCTGAAACAATTATTCCTCATCGGTGAGTCAACTCACTTACTACAGTGAGTTGACCTGCATGTATATACCGTGTTAGTTTCAAGGTAAATAGTGTGGAGAGTTTAGGGTATATATATATATATATAATATATATATATATATATATAATATATATATATATATATATAATATATATATATATATATATATATAATATATATATATATATATATATATACTGAGATATACTTACTTCTTGTTGTTTATACTCAAAGAAATATACATTTCTTAGCGTATATACTCTGTGAAGTACATATTTTTCGGCGTATATACTCTAAAATATATGCATCTCTCCGTGTATATACCCTGAGAGATACGCATCTCTTTGTGTCCTCACCCTGAGAGGTACACATATTTGTATATACCCTGAGATATGTTCGTCTCTGTGTATATACTCTGGGAGGTACACATCTCTCTGTATATCTTCCCTGAGATATATACATCTAACGGCGTATGTACTCTGAGGGATACACATCACTGGGTGTACATACTCTTGGAAGTTCACTGTACTAGTAACGAAGTTCACTGTATTGGAGATTTGTGATTCACCAAACTGGTGACTTAAGTTTACTATACAGGTGACTTGAACTTCACTATAATGTGACTTGAAGTTCCCTATACTGGTGATCTGAAGTTCCATTGTGGGAGCTGAGAGACTACAGATTATGCTCAACATGTGGTAGAAAGGTTACGTGGTGCAGAGTAAATTTTTATTAAAGGCTACGTTTCCCTCTGTATAGTGCGAAACATCTACTGTAATGAAGGGTTTCCTCTGCACCATGTGTCACCCAGTCATAAATGTCAAACCTTCAAACCTCGCAGGAAATTAGAGTGAACCCATTTCTCAGCTATTTTAATGGGCCAATTATGGTCTATTATCCCGTTGACCTTGCCCATGTGATCGACTTTCTGGTATAATGTCTAAATGTATAAATTACAATACATGTCAGTGTTATTATGGTTGTGTAGTTTGACCTTTGATGTGCTATTCTAATTAGTGTTGTCGTTGTTGTTGTTGCAGGTGTGGATGAAGGCTACCGTGATGAGGGTGTTGGTCATTACTCTGGGCAGGTCGTCTGGGCTTCGCCGAAGCGAGCCGGATAGCAACTCGAATCCCCCTATAGAACATTCCAAAAACAAGGTGGACTCGCATAGTTTCATCGGCCAGCCGCAGACGCTGAGAGTGGAGTCTCCAGAGCCGGGAATCCTCAGGAGGGCAGTGGTGAAGAGTGCTAGCGTTAAATACTGCCAGGAGTATTCAAATAGCGGAGCTGATTCGAAATCGCGGGAGTCGATCAGGGCACTGATTCCCGCAGAGCAGAATGAAGCCAAATCAGCCAGGGTGACGAGAATTCCCAGAGAGACCATGGCCGGCCATCGCAGTAAGTTGGTGAGGAACTCATCCATCAGTAAGTGGAGAGCTAAGTTTAGGCGACCACCTCTGTCCTCGGAGACCGCAAGAGAGACAGACACGGAGCAGTTACTTGAAGCGGAGGAAAAGGTCAAGCCACGTCGCAAAACAGAGAGCAAATTCGGTCGAGATGCAAATTTGCTAAAGTGCAAATTGCGTAGCCACGTTTCGGAATCTTCTTCAAATGGCTGTAGGAGCAGCAACAGTAGTAAAAATAAAAGCGTTATCAGTGTGACGAAGAACAAAATTCACGAGAAACATGACGGTAGCAACGGCAGTAAGAACCGGTCTGCTGTCAGGGAGGAGGTAGAGGGCTACATGTCTCAAGTCCAGAGTAGCGAGATCTGCGATGAGTGGTCCAGCGTACCCAGGAGTGTGACACTCCGCACAGCTCAGCTCAGGGCACACCTTCCCAGGGTGAGCCACAGCACTCAGAGAGACAAGGAGACTTCCTATTATCTCCACAGGGGAAGTATCCAGGTGGCCACCAGTCCTCAGAGACCTGGTGGCGGCCCAGAGTCGGCGTGTAATCAACGCTCGTACTCAGTGGGACGTCCCATGTCCTCTGCAGAAGGACATATGGGTTCATGGCCTCGGCCTTCAAGAATCAATGGTGTCCAGGCTACGCAAAGCGGTCACATGAGGGTACCACTGCTGTGCCCACGGGCAGTGAGTGTGCCCAGTCCACCAAGTGACCTTGGCGGGTCACACACACCCGGCGGATCTTATTCTCATTTCGGCACATTCCCACGTAGAAGACCCTCCCAAAAAGGTAAGTCATTGGTGCAATTTTTATACTCAACCTTTGTAACCTGCCGAGAAGGTTTATGACATGCTGGTAATTTACAGCGACCGCCCGCCATTACAGTGTTGTAACCACTGCTCAGCAAACTTCGTCAAGTGACGAGTGTCCAGATACATAGTGCTGGTGGAGTCTAGTCTACTGCTGAAGTATATTCTAAGATTGGGAACATTCTTCACCCGGAGTAACATTCTTCACCCGGAGTAACATTCTTCACCCGGGGTAACATTCTTCACCCAGGGTCACATTCTTCACCTGGGGTCACATTATTCACCCAGGGTAATTTCTTCACCCGAGGCAACATTCTTCACCCGGGGTAACATTCTTCACCTGGGGTCACATTCTTCACCGGGGTAACATTCTTCACCCAGGGTAACATTCTTCACCCGGGGTAACATTCTTCACCGGATAACATTCTTCACCCAGGGTAACATTCTTTACCCAGGGTAATATTCTTCACTTGGATTCTCAAAAACTGCACAATCTAGGGCAACATGGGATCAGAGGAGGTTGCTCCTGCCTCTCACAACAACTGGATCACTATGATATGGTCTTGGATGCACTGGAAGAAAAACAGAACGCAAATGTAGTATACACAAACTTCGCAAAAGCCTTTGACAAGTTCGATCATGGCTTAATAGTTCACAAAATACGAGCTAAAAGAATAACTGGGAAAGTGGGGAGAAGGATCTTCAACTTTCTAACCAATCGAACACAAAGAGCAGTGGTCAACAGAGTTAAATCGGAAGCTGCCATAGTGAAAAGCTCTGTCCCACAAGGCACAGTACTCGCCCCCATCCTGTTCCTCATCCTCATATCAGACATAGAGATGAAAACCATAGCGCCGTGTCATCCTTCGCAGACGATACTAGGATCTGCATAAGGCTGTCATCTGCTGAGGACGCGGTTAACCTCCAAGAAGATATAAACCAAGTTTTCCAGTGGGCAACGGTAAACAATATGATGTTCAATGAGGACAAATTCCAACTACTCCGTTATGGAAAACTGGAGGAGATAATAACTAGAACAGAGTATACTGCAAACTCTGATAATTCAGTAGAGAGAAAAAAATAATGTGAGGGACCTGGGAGTGGTAATGTTTAAGGATCTCACTTTCAAGGATCACAACAGTGCCACGATCACAACTGCAGAGAAAATGATAGAATGGATAATGAGAACGTTCATAACAAAAGATGTCAAACCAGTGATACTTTTCAAATCACTCGTTCTCTCTAGGTTGAAATACTGCTGTACATTAACATCTCCATTAAGCAGATGAAATTGCAGATCTAGAGAGTGTACAGAGAACCTTTACTGCACATATAAGCTCCATCAAACACCTCAACTACTGGGAATGCTTGGAAGCACTTGACTTGTACTCGCTGGAATGCAGGCGAGGGAGATATATCATAATCTACACTTGGAAAATCCTAGAAGGAATGGTCCCGAATCTGCACACAGATATCACTCCCTATGAAAGTTAAAGACTAGGCAGGCGATGCAAAATGCCCCCAATAAAAAGTAGGGGCGCCATTGTACACTAAGAGAAAACACCATAAGTGTCCGGGGCCCAAGACTGTTCAACAGCCTCCCACCACGCATAAGGGGAATTACCAATAGGCCCCTGGTTGCCTTCAAGGAGCTAGACAGATACTTAAAGTCAGTGCCGGATCAGCCGGGCTGTGGTTCGTACTTTGGACTACTTGAGGCTAGCAGTAACAGCCTGGTGGATCAGGCCCTGATCCACCAGGAGGCTGGTCGTGGACCGGGCTGCTGGGGCGTTGATCCCCGGAATACCCTCCAGGTAGCCTCATCAGGAGTAACATTTCACCAAGGGTAACATTCTTCAACCAGGGTAACATTCTTCACCCAGGGTATCATTCTTCACCAGGGTATCATTCTTCACCCAGGGTATCATTCTTCACCCAGGGTATCATTCTTCATCCAGGGTAACCTTCTTCACCCAGGGTATCATTCTTCACCAAGGGTATCATTCTTCACCCAGGGTATCATTCTTCACCCAGGGTAACCTTCTTCACCCAGGTATATCATTCTTCACCCAAGGTATCATCTTCACCCAGGGTATCATTCTCACCCAGGGTATCATTCTTCATCCAGGGTAAACCTTCTTCACCCAGGGTATCATTCTTCACCCAGGGTATCATTCTTCACCCAGGGTATCATTCTTCACCCAGGGTAACCTTCTTCACCCAGGGTATCATTCTTCACCAAGGGTATCATTCTTCACCCAGGGTATCATTCTTCACCCAGGGTATCATTCTTCATCCAGGGTATCATTCTTCACCCAAGGTATCATTCTTCACCCAGGGTATCATTCTTCACCCAGGGTATCATTATTCACCCAGGGTAACATTCTTCACCCAGGGTAACATTCTTCACCAAGGGTATTATTCTTCACCCAGGGTAACATTCTTCACTCAGGGTAACATTCTTCTCCCAGGGTATTATTCTTCACCCAGGGTAACATTCTTCACCCAGGGTAACATTCTTCACCCAGGGTAACATTCTTCACCCAGGGTATCATTCTTCACCCAGGGTAACATTTCACCCAGGGTACCATTCTCCACCCAGGGTACCATTCTTCACCCAGGGTATCATTCTTCACCCAGGGTAACATTCTTCATCCAGAGTATCATTCTTCACCCAGGGTATCATTCTTCACCCAGGGTAACATTCTTCATCCAGGGTAACATTCTTCACCCAGGGTAACATTCTTCACCAAGGGTATCATTCTTCACCCAGGGTATCATTCTTCACCCAGGGTAACATTCTTCATCCAGGGTATCATTCTTCACCCAGGGCAACATTCTTCGCCCAGGGTATCATTCTTCACCCAGGGTAACATTCTTCATCCAGGGTATCATTCTTCACCCGGGGTAACATTCTTCGCCCAGGGTAACATTCTTCACCCAGGGTAATATTCTTCACTCAGGGAATCATTCTTTACTCAGGGTATCATTCTTCACCAGGAGTAACATTCTTCACCCAGGGTAACAATCTTCACCCGGGGTAACATTCTTCACCTGGGATAACATTCTTCACCCAGGGTAACATTCTTCACCCAGGGTAACATTCTTCGCTCGGGGTAACATTCTTCACCTGGGATAACATTCTTCACCCAGGGTAACATTCTTCACCCTGGGTAACATTCTTCACCCTGGGTAACATTCTTCACCCAGGGTAACATTCTTCACCCTGGGTAACATTCTTCACCTGGGATAACATTCTTCACCCAGGGTAACATTCTTCACCTGGGATAACATTCTTCACCCAGGGTAACATTCTTCACCTGGGATAACATTCTTCACCCAGGGTAACATTCTTCACCTGGGATAACATTCTTCACCCAGGGTAACATTCTTCACCCAGGGTAACATTCTTCACCCAGGGTAACATTCTTCACCTGGGATAACATTCTTCACCCAGGGTAACATTCTTCACCTGGGATAACATTCTTCACCCAGGGTAACATTCTTCACCTGGGATAACATTCTTCACCCAGGGTTAACATTCTTCTAACCCAGGGTAACATTCTTCACCCATGGTAACATTCTTCACCTGGGATAACATTCTTCACCCAGGGTAACATTCTTCACCCAGGGTAACATTCTTCACCTGGGATAACATTCTTCACCCAGGGTAACATTCTTCACCTGGGATAACATTCTTCACCCAGGGTACATTCTTCACCCATGGATAACATTCTTCAGCCTGGGTATTCCGAACTTCTTCACCCAGGGTAACATTCTTTCACCCAGGTAACATTCTTCAACCTGGGATAACATTCTTCACCCAGGGTAACATTCTTCACCTGGATAACATTCTTCACCCAGGGTAACATTCTTCACCTGGGATAACATTCATCACCCCAGGGTAACATTCTTCTACCTTGGGATAACACATTCTTCACCCCAGGGTAACATTCTTCACCTGGATAACATTCTTCACCCAGGGTAACATTCTTCCCAGGGTAACCATCTTCACCCAGGGTAACATTCTTCACCCAGGGTAACATTCTTCGACCCAGGGTACATTCTCACCAGGGTTAACCATTCTCACCCAGGGTAACATTCTATCACCTGATAACATTCTCTCACCCGGATAAATTCTTCACCCAGGCTAACATTCTTCACTCAGGGTACATTAACTCTCTTTAAAAGTGTAATATCTATTAGATACACATCTGACACTTCCCCAGGATGACAGACGCTTCTTGCACCGCTGCTTTTGTGACTTGTTCGCATTGTTATACCCGATTGTGATGCTACACATGTGTTCTATGAGGTATCTTATTGACAGTGTACATGCAGATATGTCCACAAGTGTTTATGCAATACTTTGATTATTTTTTATTTATTTTATTAACACATGGCTGATTCCACCAGGCAGGTGTGACCCGAAAAGAAAAACTTTCACCATCATTTCCTCCATCACTGTTGCAGAAGGGTGCTTTACACTACAGTTTTTAAACTGCACATTAACACCTCATCCTTCAATGCAGACACTGTATTCCCATCTACAGTGACCAAGTCCGCCTCCGGTTTTCCCTGAATCCCTTCATAACTGTTACTTTGCTCACACTCCAACAGACGTCAAGTATTAAAAACCATTTGTCTCCATTCACTCCTATCAAATACGCTCACGCACACTTGCTGGAAGTCCAAGACCCTCGCACGTAAAACCTCCTTTACCCCCTCCCTCCAACCCTTCCTAGGCCGACCCCTACCCCGCCTTCCCTCCACTACAGATTTATACACTCTCGAAGTCATTCTGTTTTGTTCTATTCTCTCTACTTGTCCGTACCACCTCAACAACCCTTCCTCAGCCCTCTGGATAATAGTTTTGGTAATTTCCGAACTACGAATTCTCTGTATTATAATCACACCACACATTGCCCTCAGACATGACATCTCACTGCCTCCAGCCTTCTCCTCGTTGCAACATTCATCACCCATGCTTCACACCCATACAAGAGTGTTGGCACAACTATACTCTCATACATTCCCGTTTTTGCTACCATGGACAAAATTCTTTGTCTCCACAGACTACTAAGTGTACCACTCACCCTTTTCCCATCATCAATTCTGTGATTCACCTCATCCCTCATAGACCCATCTGCTGACACGTCCACTCCTAAATATCTGAATACATTCACCTCCCCCATACTCTCTCCCTCTAATCTGATATCCAGTTTTTCGTCACCTAATCTTTTTGTTATCCTCATAACCCTACTCTTTCCTATATTCCCTTTTAATTTTCTTCTTTTA